TCTGTAATTCTGGACTATTTCAGGAAGAGCACAGAACACTTTTACACTGTGCTATCTCAAATAGTTAAATGATTAGGCTCTCATATCAGGTATCAGGTTTACAGTGTATTGCCTTTGTAGGCAGACATACACAGTGGAGACTGAGAAATAAAACTAGCTTGACTGATAGAATGATCACAGGGCATGGGAATCGTGCACATGTTCCCCCTTTTCTGCCACCAAGACATCCCATATTTGACCAAGGAGGAACCAAACTCTAGAGGTTGCACGGAATACAGGCTGTTCCTATAACTCTTTAAGACTCACCCATTAAAAGACCAGGGCTAGAAGAGCCAGTGGGTTGGGTAACATATACACAAGTGATTCCTGTCTTAATGATAGCAATTTTTTATTCAGCACTAGAGCACAAGATACTAGACGAGGAAGGATTTCAACCACTCCTCTAGCTCACTGGTTCACATCTCACTGGACCAAATAGACCAGAATCACTTAGTGGACTTTTTCTAAATACAAATTGCAAGGTGTGGGAAGTACTCAGCATTCAGTCTTTCCACAAATATGTGCTGAGTGGCTATGGTGTGCCAAGCACTCTCTATGAACTAGGGCTATAGTAAGGAATGAGCCAAAGTCCACCCATCTCATAGAACTTATCTTCTTTTTTTTTTTTTTTAAGCTGAGCCATCCTGCCACCTGCAGGCAGCTCAGCAGCAGCTCAGCTCGGAGAGTGAATGGAACTGAAGACCCTGTTGCTCAGAGCTCACACTCTTGAGTGAGCTCTTAACCAACTGAGCAACTCGGCCAGCCTCAGACCTTATCTTCTAATCAGAGAGTGAGACGATCAAACATGAGTAAATCAATGAAATGTCAGGAAGTGATAAACGCTTTAAANAAAAAAAAAAAAGGCAGGTTTTTTCCGTGTGAATTAACTTCTGGGGTTCTCCATATGGTTTCTTTACTTCCCTCCCTCACTGAAATATTTTAACTAATTGGTCCAATTGTTCAATTGATACTATTCCCTTTTTCCAAAGATTGCTAGCCACATCCCATAAACTAAATCAGATATTCTCACAACCTGGATAAATAGGGCAAAGCCTACTGATCATAAACTTCACATATCTTGTGGTTCCTCAGCTGAAGGTGGTGGATGGGTGGTCACAGCCAAAGCAAGAGCTGGGCCCCTCAGGCCTCCTTACCACACTCTCCTTTCCTCTTGCCACCTCTTCTATGCCTCTCCTGTGAGGGGATGGCTTTACCAGTCAGTTTGGGAACAGCGCAGGACTTCCGGTACCCCGAACTAGAATACACATTTCATTGCTCACTTCGTCACCATCAAATCTTTACTTTCACCATTATTAGTTCCAACCTCCTCACAGTCCTACTGCTTATCCTTGGCTTGGCTTCTGGATAGAGACAAAGAGAACTGAGCATTCTTTTCTTGTGGAAAACATTCGACAAGTAACCTCACCACTCCCTGTGTGATAGGGTAATTAACCTGAAGGTATTTGAACTTGGTCCCGCCCTACTCAGTCATCTGGAAGAAGCCATACTCCTGAAACTACTTGGGCATTCCCCATTCACTTGGCCATTCCCACGGTACCTAGGAAGGTTTTCATAACTTTGGGATTTATGAGAATTGCAAGTTAAGTCTGGGTTTCCTTGTAGCCCTGATGCCTACCTATCATAGTTCAGTGACTTACTTAGTGACTACAGTAAAAGAACTGCATTTTGGGTTTTTTTTTTAAAGATTTTTATTGGGGAATTGGGGGATGGGAACAGCCCTGGGGAATCAGGGGAAGGGTAACAGACAAGTTGCTGTCATTTTGTTTTTTCAGTCTAGTTGTGGTGGACGTTGCTTCACTGGCCCAAGTTGGCACCATCATTGCACTCTTCCCGGGCGAGGCAGATCAGTCACCAGCTTCTGGATGGCTGCTCACGCTGGCTGCTGGCTACACACAGTAGCCCATGGCAACCCGCTGCAGCAGGGGCTGCAGCCTACGCTGTCGCCAGCGACTCCCGGCAGCCCAGCTCCAGGTCGAGCTGTTGTTCACCATCTTAGCTGTAGAGGGCACAGCATCACTGACCCATGTGGGAACCAAACCTGCAGGCCTGCTGCTCAGAGCTCACGCTCCCAAGCCAACTCTTAACCAACTGAGCCACGCGGCCGACCTGACCTCATTTTTTTTTTAACAGCTGTATTTAGGCAGGGACTATAATATATTCAATCTTCAATCATTTCCCTTTTGATGAACATTCAAACATTTTCCTAATTTTCATGTGTGCGTTATTCTGAATTGAGATATTCTGGATATATTGTCAAGAGGTAGCTAATGGATGTGCAGTGAGAAGGAAAGAACAGTGGAAGTTTCTACGTGGTCTCTCTGACTTTATTCTGGCCCTTCATTCATCCCTCTTTATGAAAGCTCTGGTTACATAATGAAGGCATAGTACTCCATCAGGGTATAAATGGAGGGAAGTGGGATGTGAAATAGATGATATACCTCCTTAGGTAATATATTTTATCTTAAAGTATAACACTGAGCAGTTTTCTCTAAGCCCTTCCATATGCATTATCTATTTTGATTCTTATAAAGTTCTTGCCTTCTATTATATTCATTTTACAGATAATGAAATTGAGTGTTAGAGAGATCCACTGACTACCATAGCTAATTAGATACAGAGTACAACAAAATGTTCAAGTGTCTTGGCTCTTAGTGTTGAACTTTCTAAGGAATCCTGCTGCCTCCCTATTCAGAGGGGAGGACATAACAAGATGACCTGAAGAGTTAGAGTCTCATTTTCAAAAGAGGTAAAGCAGTGCTTCTCGGTAGCCCTAGTCATGTGTCTCCTCAGCCACCTAGAAACTTCTTCAGTGCACCCTTAAAGACTTTGTTCCTCAGGGTGTGGATGAGAGAATGGAGCATGAGTGTAACTATAAGAACAGGATAAGGAAAGTAGCTGCTCTTAGGCTAGATTTAGTCAGAGGTAACTGTCCTACAGAGTAGTCCACCGCCACCACCATGTGGGAATTTCAGGTTACAGTCTTGGTTCTCTATCCTTGGCTGTACAGATCCTTGCTTAGCTTTGCCAATGTAGCCACAAGTGACAAGGATTCAGCTGACGGAGACCAGAAAGAAGATGACTGTGGTCACTAAGATTTTGGACTTTTTGAAACAGGCCAGGTTATGCTACAGAAACACACAGCATCAACATCTTAGGGGTTAAACACAAAAGTTTATTTCTTATTCCCACGAAGTCCATTGTAGGTCTGGGGCTCTCCAGAACAGCTGTCCTGCTATGTGAGGGACTCAGCATTCCAGACTGGTTTGATCTCGTGGTTCCTCTTTCTGTCTGCACGTCCATGATGGATGTAGGAAAAGACAGCACTACAGGCTCTTGCATCAACAAATACATGCTTCAGCCCCGAAGTGAGACTTCTGCTCACAACCCATTGACCAAAATGATCTCATAACCCTAACTACAAGGAGCAGAAAGGCACAACTATTCTCCTTTTTTACTGTTCACTAGAATACAAGCTCCATGAGGGTGTGCATTTTTTTCTCTTCTGTTCACTACCATAGCCTCAGTCTAGAACAGCGTCTGGGTATATAATAGGCCCTCATTAAACTAAATGAATGACTGCAGTACCAGCAAGAGATTCACACATATTTTGGGAGAAGAGATATAGTGCCAGCGGTTCCAGACTGAGGGTGTTGGGTAAGAGCTACGCAGATTAGCTATTCAGAGCTGGTTTTGATTAAGAAATACTACTTGGTATAGTTCAGTTTGGGGAAGAAAATAAAATCCTGTTGAACATACCAGACCAAAGCTTGGGTGACTTACAACGAAGAGCACTGAACCCACAGACCTAATCAACTCAGCATAACCACCACCACGAGTGCTCAGCTCCTCAAAGGAGCTGCAAGAGCCACAAACACATCTGCTTCTTTAATGCAATCAACCTCCCAACTTATCTGGGGAGCAGGGGACAGGGAAAGAAGTGCACATTCCTTGAGCATCTACTGTTGGCCAGGCTGGTAGGCACTTTTCTTTTATGAATCCCTGTAACCCCCAGATCAACCCTGAGATGTTTCTCTATTTCAGAGAAAATGGAGACTGAAGAGTGTTTCAGTAACCAATCAAGAAACAGGAATGTTTTATAAGCTAGAAATAGAAACAATACAATGTCATCCAGGCTGGCTCTGCAGGGATAACATATAAATCAGTCCCGCTAACCCTGCCTTCAGAGCTGTCTAATGAAGCTAAGTGACAGCCAACAGACCCAGTAGCTATGGGGTCTTGAACAAGTCCCTGTATGTCTTTGAGCCTTAACGTCTCCATTTATAAAATAAGAGATTTGGAAGAGATAATATAACCACTTCTCTGATACTATCTAAAAGCTCTAACAGACACACATCTGAGTCACTGTTGTAGATAAACGCAGTGAGTTAGTAGGAAATCCACAGCCTAGAGAGGTTTTCAGCAGTCTATCACATTTATCACTTAAGGCTACTGCTACATGCTGTGCTAGAGAAAACAGACACTGGTAGGCACTGCCTGCTTAACAGTTTACAGTGTAAGACAACCAACATGGATATGGATTCGCCCAGCCTTGCCAACTGCTCAGCATCAATTCCCCAACCTTCCTTTTTGGAAACTTAGTCTCCTGCTGACTGAATTCCCAGGTGACCATGCCCAGTAAACCACAGCATCCTGCCTGCAGGACACGCCCCAGTTCTTGAACATACCTCTATGTTCACAGCAACGAACAAAAGCCAAATTAATAACCAAACAAAAACCTGAGAAATTAATCCTGAGCGCGCACTGATTTTCTTTTATGCTTCAGGAAAAATTTTATGGCTATTTTATCCTATTGACATTGTGAGGGAAGTAAACAAAAGAAACTTTGTTACTGAAGAAAATTCTTCTTTATATCTAATACATATTTCATGGCTAAAAATTCCAAACTGTTTCCATATGATCTCATTAGAAATGTTTTCATTTTTCAAACACCACCAACGAGAGGCATAAGATAGTGCATTATTACTTATCTGGCAGATTCCCTAGTGGGGAAGTAAATATGATTTCATCACAGTAAAAAACTGTGTTAATACAAGTAAAGAAGTAAAGGTGCTAAAAAGTTCAAGAAGAAACTCATACAATGTTCAGAAAGGAGAGACAGAAAGAAATTCCAATTTGGTTCTTGGTAACTTTTATATTAGAATTCATATCTGCCCCATTAGACTACTGAAATTGGTAAGCCTGCTACCTTGAAGACAATGGAATGCAATAAAAAAAGTATATTATCACTTTTGTTATGAAGACCATCCTACAAATGTTTCTATCATATGTGTTTAAGAGTAGCTGGGAGATCAGTGTGAAACCAACACTATTTACCTCAGTGACCACTGAAGACTGATTATCAGATTCATTTGAAGCTGAATTTGCTATTTTGCCAGGTACAATCCCAAACAGCTTTTCCCATTATTCAGAATGTTCTTAGAATACCTCTCTCTTGCAAAGAAATTCCCTGAAACTTATCAGTAAAAACAGAAAGTAGTACAACTTTAGTACATGCCCTGCAGAGTCAACCTTGATTCCTCTCTATGAAACATGTTTATATCCCAAAATTTTCCACTGATAGAAAACTCTTCGTTTTTTTTTTTTGTAATTTTGTATTTTTTTCATAAACTTTAGGGTCAAGTTCCATTTGGTGAATTTGTTCAGACTGAGGACACTGGATAAGCTTCCCTTCATTGGTGGAGTTTCTGGTGTTTAAAATCTGACAGCCTGCTGAAGCTCCTCTTGCATGTACTAAAGGTGGGTTCTCTGGTGTTTAATAAGGTGGGAGTTCTGACTGAATTTTTTCCCACATTCATGACACGTAAAGGGCTTCTCTCCAGTGTGAGTTCTTTGGTGTGTGTGGAGATTTGATGTTTGACCAAAGCTTTTCCCACACCATGAGCATTTATATGGTTTTATTCCTTGGTGTGTCGTTAAGTGCTTATTAAGATCTGAACTCCATCTAAACCTCTTATCACACTGTGGACATTTATACGGTTTCTCTTCAGTGTGAATTCTTTGGTGCTTAATAAGGTCAGAGCTAACTCTGAAGCTTTTCCCACATTCCTGGCATTTAAAAGGCTTCTCTCCCGCACGTTCTTTCTTGTGACGATCCATGAGTTTCAGCAGCTCTTGTCTCCAGGTAAAAAGCTTCTCTCTTTTCTTCACTGGAAAATCTGGGTGCCGTTTCCCCACCTTGTGCATATCAGTATGATTTTCTTTTCCTACTTTGTGGGGAACATTCACTCTGGCCATTTTTGACACTATGTCTCCTGGTGCTTGTATTTCCAAGTCAGAAAGGCACATAGGCTGATGATTTGCAGTGTCATCTTTGTGCATTAACCCTGTTGGAATAAACATAAAAATCTGGAAGGAGAACTGACCCTCTGGGTAGTAAACACACAATGTGATATATAGATGATGTATTACAGAATTGTACACTTGAAACCTCTTTAACTTTACTAACCACTGTCACCCCAATAAGCTTTAATTAAAAAAACAACAACATGAAAATCAACCAACTGTATGACAGAGCAAGAATAGAGACAAAAATTTAAAGATCACTGATTTTAATAAACACATAAGTAGAATCTTAAAATGCTAAGCCTTGCAAAGGTTCCTATCAAGGTACATGGTGTATTTACCTGTAGGCCGCGCTCCAGGACTGTCCTTCAAATTCAGGGATCCTGGAACCCATGGCTCTTCCCCTTGCTCTAGACAGGAGATCACCTTAGGTTTCGGAAGCACAAATATGGCTGTGAAATGGAAAAACTGAAATGTCACAGTGGATCTGTAATTCTGGACTATTTCAGGAAGAGCACAGAACACTTTTACACTGTGCTATCTCAAATAGTTAAATGATTAGGCTCTCATA